CCATTGATAGGTCCAATAGCAGTGGGGAAGAGGCTGTTCTTAATCTGTAGGCATGTTTTCAAACTTTTATAACTTCTGTCTAATGGAAGAGGGTGTAAGAGAGTATAACTGGGGTGGGAGGGATCTTTGATTATGTTGGCTGCTTTCCTGAGACAGCAGAAAGTATAGAGAGAGTCTTTTTTTTAACATGGCAGTTGTTTACTGAAACATAAGTACACAAGGCTGCAGATCTGATTTTCTCAATAAAACAAATTTATCATGCAAAAGAAGCAAAAATAAAATAAACAAACCAAGCTATCTAAATCTTTCACAGTTTGAATGGTTTCAAAACACACAGAAAGTAAAATCCCAACTATTCTCCAACACCATCACTTTACAGTTTATCAATATCCAGAGAAATTTGTTACCTATTCAATCTGTAGGTTGGACTTAATTGCTTCTTCTTAATTTTGGTCCCATGAGTTGTGAGATGTTTCCCTTGACCTCTCACAAAACTGAAATCTTAGACTTTTTCAGCTCTGAATAACTTATATACAGAATTCTAACCAAACACCCCTGGTCTGGAACTTTCACAAACTATACAAACTGAGCTAACATATTCATTTAACAACTCAGAACAATATCCTTTTCCTAGGAGAGACTGTACTGACATATGACTTCAGTCAGGTCCCCGTCAAGCTTCTCAAAAGCTTTTTAACTGAAAAAAAAACTTGTTCAATCCTAGATTCTGCTCAGCTAATGGCTTAATGTTTACTTTCTCTAGTCATAAACATGCACAAGTATAAAAAAACACTTCCATTAATACTCCAGGAGGCACATACTGGTTTAAAATCATGATTCCAGAAAGACTGAACTAATTAATTTTAACCCCATTCAGATATATAAATCAACACCTATTTTATTTGCCACTAATTCAAAATCCAAACTCAAAAAAAAATTAATAAAACGAATATACTTTTCATCAGACTTCACTCCATTAGAATTTGAATTGGATGATTTGATGATACAAATTGCACACCACAGACCTCAAAGTGTCTAACAGCCTCTTTCAATCCTTTCTTTATTCTCCATGGTGGCTCTACACTTACCAATTAAAGAAGTTAGGGTTGCTAAATCCACATAATCCAAATCAGTTGATGGGCATATCTTCACCTCCATCTGTACTTCCTAAAGTTCCAAATTAGACTTCAGTCTATCCCTAAGACAGGTCAGTGCAGTACTGCCATCACGATCAGTGTATTGATAACTGCTGATTCTGCTTAGGTACAAAACTTTCAAATCACTAACACATTGTTTGATCTTAAACAGATCTCATTTAAATGAAATATCACATTGAGCCCGTAGAACACAAACAAGCCCTTCCACCCAACTGGCAAATGCCAGCTTTTACATTACATAAAGGCCCCCCTGCCGATGCTCTTCATTGAACCTTTTCAGTCTATATTAGCATCACTCACACACTGGCATAGAGTGACAGACACAGGCAAAAACAAACACATGGGAAAAACACACATAGAGACATACGCATACATAGGTGCACACACGCACATATACATGAACACAGACAGAAACCATCAGGCAGAAACAAGAAACAGTCACAGAAATATACACAGACTGACACAGAATCAGTCAGAAATACACAAATCAAAACACAGTTCTCTTAGTCAGAGATACGCAATGTTCAGACAGTGACAAACGTATACATGTCAGGACTGTGAATCCATGATTCCACAGCTAGAGAAAATAAATGAAAGCAGTACATTTTTAAGAGTTTCTTTTAATATAAATACAGAAGACTATTGACTCCATTGGAGTTTCAAATACATGTTAATAGCCATGTGATGCAAAGGTTTATCAATCTCCTTACAGCATCCAATTATAATATCATCAACCTAAAATAAATAGCTTTGTATTCTCACACCTGCAAACGTTAACTCACAACTTATCCATTACAAAATAAAAGGCGTAGATTTAGTTATTAACACCTGGCAATGCTTGTTGCCAATGATCATACAAACACTGAACATAACTGCAGCAGATTCCTCTTACCAGTATTTCAATACAGTTACTAACACAATCACTGCCTTCTTAACTGGCTCTATGCCTCTGTTAATATGTGAGAGGAATCCAGTATGAGCTCACAAAGGGTCAACACAATAACACAAACAGGCCCTTCCCTGTCTGAAATTGTTTCAAATATGTCAACCGGATTTACAAATCTGAGCAGGAAATTGATGGTCTCTGGTTCTTCTGAGTACCGGTCTCCTATGTGTTAGCAACTCAGTGCATCAGATCAGTTTCTTACCAGATAAGTAACTGACAAGGATGCATCTGTCCTGTATCCATGATCTCAGGAATGGAGCCGGATTCAGAATCCCTCAGACCCTGGGCATAAAGAACACTCTGGTTCCACCTCCCCTCCCCAACATTACTCTCAATACATTAAAACATAAACATGTGTTAAATTGCATTATTAAAGAAAATGTTCAAATCTTTCTCCAAGACTTCAGATGTCAGTTTGAAATTTCTGTGAGATTGCTACTGGATATGAAGGAGCCAATGAGGGCATAAAGGTTGCAATGTTACATGGGAGCACATCGTGTAACTGAGATGTGGTCGGCATTTGGTGCATGTACTATACAGGATTGGAACTACACCACTTCATCATGCTTCCTTTCTGCACGCGCCAAGTACCTAAGATCAATTACAGTCTTCAATACTCTGTCTTTCTGACCTTTGAGATGTTCACCAAGCCCAGATGCTTTGTTTGTTTTCCATCTTTCTGATGTCAACACTACCCACCTGTGCACTGAAATGATTTCACATCTCAATGGATTTTTTTCCCTTGTTGAGTTCAAGAGTTTACGTAGAGTATGGCAGTACCAGGGAGTTAGTTGCTCTGTTGCTAATTCACAGGTAACAAGAGCTAAGAGCTCCACATTCTTCCCTTACGTGCAGTGTAAATAGGTTGGTCACAAG